CTCCTGTTCCGGAATACGTAAGGCAACTTGGCGTACCGTTGTCAATTGGTCCGCTCTGGAAAATGGAAGGTCTGGAGAAAATTTAGGGCCTTTGGACAGCACTTCCAAAGTACCTGGAGAAAGTTGTTGGTCACAAAGTAGAACTGGAGGGTCTAAACACAGCTTGGCTGGTCTTGCGACAAGACGCATTCAAAGAAGTGATAATCACGCTCCAGGCAGAATCCAGGAGTCTGGAAGAAGAGGCTTGAAGAAAGATGAAGGAAGGATGGGTCCGAAACCTTAAGCCAAAGAGACTGGTCATGATGCCTGGGAGCAGATTCTCCATGAGCCGAAGTTCGTGGGAGATCTCCTTTCGAGATATTTGCATGATGCGGTAGGTGGAAGACCAGTTGTGAGGGGGGTAACCCAGCATCAATGCTGCCCCAGGGTGAGCAGTTTTCTTGCAGTTGTGGAGCCCCAACGCGCAGAGTCTCAGACGAAGCAGATTCAGCTTAGACATGAAGCAGGCAGCTTGAAAAAAGGTTTCCGGATTGAAATTCGACATGCGAAGATGGGACTTGGACAGCACTGACAAAGCTCTAAATTGAGATAAAGTACACGTAGCAGAGCGCGTTGAAAACTACAGAATATTTACATCATCATCATCATCGCGGTCACACCGCTGATAGGAAAGGCAGTCTGCCGAGGCTGTCTGAGGCCTTCCCTGTACGACGGCCGCATTGGTCGTACAAACATTGTCTGCAAACGTGTTGGAATTGCACACGATATATATGTTTAAGCATGCTTCGATTACGCTTCGGGTGTGTACGCAGAAAATTATGTCTTCCGTGCCTGCCGCGACCACTGTGTGTCTTGTATACTATGAGAAACAACAACAACAATATCTTGTAAACCCTGAGATGGGTTTACAGGATACTGCTAACCACGATAACCATTTTTTTTTAACGTTAGGACACGTATGTTGCAAAGTGAAAATCTCCCACTAAACGTGCGTTTACACTTGCGGATTCGCGCGGGCCTGAAAGTGGATTTCGGATCCGGGTGGAGAAATCGACTCGTCGCTGACGGAAAATCTGGATGCGCGCACGTAGACCGGGGATTGATGCAGATTTTTCGTAAGCAACAAATCCATTTCACCACCCTGCTACAAAATCCACTTCTCCACCTGCGCGGATCCGCTCGCAAACCCGCGAGTGTAAACCGCGCCATAAAACAAGTTTTTAGCGCCAGTCTCACGTTGCGGGACTAATCTGAGCGATTCTCAAACACGCTTCTATTCCCCAAACTTACCAATCTCGGAATAGAGGCATATACATGTCTCAGAATCGATCCCAACTAAAATTAGTCTCGCAACGGAATCCGCTAATATATACGCCTATATATATACTATACTGTAAACGACTTAATTTTCGCGAATTTCGCGAATCGGCGGCTACTCGCGAAAAATAGGTCCCGCGAAACAATTCCAGTAAAATGTAAACACATAGGAATCGATATTGAGATCCCACCGCGTCGCGAAAATTAGCACCTGCGAATTATTTCAAAACTTCAGTTTTGACCTAAATCGCGAAATATTGAGCCCACGAAAAATTAGTCGATTACCGTATATATAAACTAATTTTGCGACATACGAGTCCTACCCGGGTACATTTATCAAAACAAAATGTGTACTTCTTGGAATGTCAGGGGGACACTGTCAGTGTCCCCCAACGCGTGAGCTCCAAGCCACCGTTGCTATGCCCGCGGGCATGGCTCAATATACGTTCCCGCTTTCTGATTGGCTATCCGGCGTTCTTATCGGTAAATGCCGCAATCTGATTGGTTGGGGAGAGATAATGGGATGCACGGGACTCCATGCTTTTTCTTAAGTTGCCTGCGACTATGATCGCGAGCGGCTTCTCTTAACGGCATCCAGGCCCGGCCGTGCCAGCCCGCCGCACCGCTAATTACAGAACATTCCAGGAAGGGCACTCAGGGCGGCGCCATTTTGTTCGACCGCAGCGCCCTCTCCACACAACCGGGAACTTCAGCAGGCTCGGCCTGCTCAAACGAGAGAAAGGGCACACGTACGACTCCGCTAGCAGATGAAAAACCGTTCTCCATCTTTGGGGCTGTATACCTTCGGGCTGTACGGAGCATCGAATTGATGCTCGCTGCCGTCGTGAAGTGGTTCGTGTTTCTAGAATATTTATGGCTACTCCAGAATCAGACTATAGCGCTCTCTTGTTTTATTTCAGTAGCTGATCAGCCAGCCTATATATTTGTTCCGTTACTTCAATAGCAGTGGTGTCAGCCGGCAGTACTACCCCTGAACCACTGCGTCTACTGCGTCGGGGGACCACGTTTTTATTTATTTATTCCAGACTCCCCGCTCATTTTTGCTAAAGGCCTACACAAGTACGACCTTTATATAGTAAAAAAAAGCTACAGCAACCGGATTTACTTTTCGTCGGAGGGGACAGACCGACCACTCTGACATAGTTTTCACATTTCTTTTTTTCTTTGCACGGCAGGTAACAGCGCAATTGGACCCGGTCAGTCTTTTTACCGTACATAGCATTACACGATAACTTGGGATATCAAAGTCCGCGTACTTGCGGTTGAAACTTCCAAAATGACGCGATTTTAAACCGACTTTGCACACCAGCCGGATGATAGGTACAACAGCCCACTCGGCGGCGCAGACGACACCCGGGGTGAGAGGGGGACGACATTCTTTTCTCTCTCCGCTCTTCCTACAGGTATGGTCTATACACCCGATGTAGGAAAATATATATATATAGTTAGTGCTCATCGTGCAGGACGGCTTCCCATTCGCGCTTTTATAAGTTCTTAAAAAAAAAAAAAAAAAAAATCTCCAGCGTTGATTTAGGAAAGTCGCCCGCTGGAAGCCTTCAAAACCAAGCCGCTCAGCCAATGCCCCAATCGAGCTGCGGGCAAAAAAAAAACATATAAAAACGGTGTGTTCTCTATTTAAACCAGAGCCGCCTGCCAACGAAACGTTCAACATCTTATATATGTTTCTTTTTTTTCGTTTTTTTTTTTTTTTTTTTTTTTTTTTTTTTTTTTTTTTTTTTCGTGTCGCCCTATCGATATGATTCTCGAAACGCTCCACTAAAGTCGCGGATGGTTTCCAAAAGTGTTCCCCCCGCTTTTTCGCCAAGTCAAGCTGTGAGAGGCGAGCATACGCGGGATTCCTTTTCAACGTGGCCTCGTCGTTCGAAGCATGTATTACGCCATCTCCTCACTCGCATGCACCCCGCAATCAAAGGCTCCCGCGCGAAGCTACATCAAAAGAACTCCGGGAAAATTGCTCGGTTCGCGCGGCAACGCGCTCGCAAGAGAGGCGCGCAGCCTCCAAAAGCCATATTGGTTCCCGTCCGCCATTTTGGTGTTAGGCTGTCGCGTTAAAAACTAAAAATCTCGGCCCGCAGTATGGGCAGCTTCGTCGCTTGTTCCGGGCAGTATATTTATGAACGTTCCCGAACCCGGACTTGTTCCGTGCTCCTTACAAGTAATCAAATCACTCGTAATCAACTACTTTTTTTAGTAATCTAGAAACAATTTGATCAAACTTATTAGAAAGTAATCGCAACAATATTCTGATTACTTTTTGAAGTAGTAATATTACTGGCAACTATTTTTTCCTTCCCTTGTACTAATTGTTTGGACGAGTTTCGTACGAAGGAGTGCTCGAACCAAACCTCCGACAGGAGTACGCTTTATCAAAATTGGCGAAGATGATAATGAGTTTAGAATTCGGTAATTGTAATTCAGTAGGCGAGAGTAATTGTAATTGTAATAGACTACTGTGCTCAGTGTCACAACGCGAACCGTTTTTGGGAGTCTAGACATAAACGCCCTTTATTGTTTGGCCAAAAAGTCAGTGGCGCCATCTATTGTGTAGCCCCGGCACACTTCCCGTTCGCGTATACTTTCTCATTTTTTACTTGTCGTTCTTTTATCGTAAGAGTGGATTAAGTCTGACAGTGCTACAAGTGGCCGTTTCCAGAAGATAGCGTGTATATTTGATTTTGCAACTACTGCGAAACCCGCTGACTAGTTCAGAAACAAGAGTGGTTGGGGGCCATTCGCACACTGGCGCCACCACGTTTCAGCTCGCGCGAGAATGAACGAATATCTAAGTACGTAAACTAACGCTTCTAAGGAACTTTCGATGGCCCGCAAAAATCTGTTTCTCAACGTGCCGCGCTGCAATTCACCGCAAGAGGCGCAAGCAAGGAATAAACTTACCTCGCTCAAAGGAAAAAGAAAACAACCACAACAGAAACCTGTGCTGGGCAATCTACGCCGCCATTTCGCCGACGATGCACGGGTAGTGAGAAGTGCTGACGATAGATGGCGTACGCCTCGTCGAGGGAGCGCCGGCCGAATCGGGTTACGATAGCAGACAATCCCGCAAACGAACCAGAATTGACCGGCGCTCCATAGAGAGCCTATAGATTGAAGAAGGTCCATTTCGAACCATGGGGGTCGTTTGCAATGTAATGGCGGACGCCTTCTGTGGACATGAGTCGCGAGTGCTCATCCGCTGCGGTTCCGCGTGGGGAGGAGGAAAGCAGGCGGAAAGGCGGAGGCGTTTGCAGACGATCAACGCTTTCGTCCCCTCCTCGCAGCTCGTACTGAAAACGCGGCCCATAAACCACGCGACCCCATCGAGCTCTTTGTGATATAGGCTCTCTAGCGCCTGATGATGATGATGATGACGCTCACTCGTCGCGGCGTACGCCATCTGTCGGCAGCACCTCTCAATACGCGTGCATCGTCTGCGAAGTGGCAGCGTAAATTGCCCAAAAGAGGTAAGTTTATTTTTCGAATTTTTCGCTGTAAATTTTCGCCACCTGCTTGCACATCTGCAGTAAATCGCAGCGCGATACGTTGGGAAACCAATTTTGCGGGGCCCTCTAAAGCACCTTAGAATCGTTACTTTACATGCTGTATATAGTTGAACTATGTGAGCCATGAATACAGCTACTCACCTTGGGCGTTCGGGCATATTTGCCCGTGCGAGTGTCCCGGATGCTGGAGATATCCAGGAACTCTGTCTCCTGGGGGAGAGGAAGACAGGGGGAAAAAAATATCCGTTTAGGGAAAAAAATTTTAAGCTTCCAATCTCCCTTCTTAAAAGAAAAGAAATAAAACATAAAAAATAAAAGAAATGAAGTGAGTCAATTTTAGACTGAGAGATTGAATAGCACAGTAATGCACTAAAGTTACCACTCGTGAAACGGGCATAAGGCGGGCACTGCGAAGACGGAGGGACGACAAAAAGTATCGTCCGTTCATGCCCAGCTCATACGCTCGTGCCTAACGCTCATGCGCCTGTTGCACGAGGAGCGACTTTAGCGCACCCCGCCCACAAGAGTATCATCTTACACCGTGACCCCGGCCCTTCCCACCTGCTTCGAGTCCGTCTAAAATTGGCCGATGTAGCGGTTTTCGACGATGCTGAGCAAGTTTCTAGAACCACGTGTCAATTTTCTCTTATCATAAAGGTAATGAACAAACTTTAGTTAATTTTCCGAATGATCGTGACGGTAAGGATATGTGTACCTGGTCATATAACTGGCCGGACGGGCCGCATTAGTATAACTTTCACGGTAAAAGAACAAAAATAAAGTCTGTAAAGCCTAAAAAAACACCCTGTATACTACTACTACTACTACTTCACAAATACTACAATATTTCCGGGTTACGACAGTTTTTTAGCGCAGTTAGCGTGTTTTTTGTTTTTGTTTTTACTCTAGATTTTACTCTTTTTTTTTTCTTTTTCTTTTCGTCAGTGTGGCCCGACATATTTATTTCCCAGATTTACAACCTGACCGAACATGTTCAACCTGAGAGCGGTTGTATCTGCCACTGACAGCGTTGTCACTGGGGACGTTTAGCAAACCGTTAGCGTGTTCCGCGTCCGAGCATTATAGCGGGACTGGGAGCACTTTTTCACGCGCCGCGCGCGCAAATGATCGACTGCCCGTTCGCGCAAGATTTTCTACCCGACGAATAGGTTGTTTGCTCTAACTCATCCCGATGCATCTAACACCGAACACGATACATTTCTGATGACCGACGAGGCGCAGCGCCAAAAACCGCATGCGAGCGGCTCCCTGGCGACGAGCGGAGTTTTCTATACGAAGCTACTTCAACCGAGCGGTGAGACGAGCAACAGCGAGCTTTAATCCGCCCCGGCGACGGCCCAGCCCGTCGCTGACCGCCAAGTCTTTCGCTCGCCAAATCACATACGCGATGAAAGTGCCCAAATTCAGCGAGAAACAAGACCGCGACGAGTAAAGTAAGCATATGCAGAGATGAATAAAACTGCGATATCCTCGCCGTGTGAACTCGACATTTGCAGAAGTCGGGTTTTTTCTTTAACTAACTTTATATCCGGCAAAAACATAACAAATGTGATGAACTTTTAAGGTCTCCGAAGTCTAGGCCATAATCTTGAGTCGCCGACTCATTCACAGTCGGATTCCATCGCTTGTAACTATACACGGCGGAGGCCGGCGAAGCGTAGGAAAGTAAGGCACGGAAATGGCGGACGCGTCACGTGATGCCAAGATGGCGGCGCCCATGCGAAGTTGCTTGAAAGCGTCTGTAGAAAGTTACTCGCAAAAGGTAACCAAGATATGTTTCAGGTACTCTCAGAATGTTAACGTTAGCAGGCCGTTCACCTGAACTGCAGTTGGTGACCAACAGAACGCTGGAATTCAAACTCAGACATTTTCAAAATCGACTCAGTGCTGTGACTAGTCACAGTAGGGCTCGAGACAGTCACAACGCGTATTGTTCTGGCGTGAAAGTCGAACCTGCGTGAAGCTGTGCATTTGTCAGCATGGTCACTGCAACTGAATAAGGTTGGACGTTACTCCCAATGCGTAGCGTCACAGTTAACTAAAATTTCATTGCAACTTCGAAAGTACGCAGTTATTTAAATAGTGAAACCATTCGCTGTTCCGTCAAAATAATTGAAAGCAAAAGTTTCGACTGCGGAAAAGCCTGGTTTAATCAACTTCGTTCAGCCGAAAAAACGAAAAAAAAAAAAAAAAAGATAGATAATTGTGCAAAAGTATAGCGTTCAACCGGGCGCCGTTTCGTGCCAAGATATCTCGAAGTGCCCAAGTATATGTGCTGGCGGCGTAAAGCGCAATTGCACTCTTCCACGCCAAAAACTCTTTTCCATTAAAAAAACAAAAAAAGAGTCACTCAATATAAAACAAGAAAAAAGGCAGCGGAGATATTTAATTTCACCATAGATTACAAGGCAGGGATCTTTATCGCGTCTGAGGAAACAATTTACGCCGCCAAACACCGAAGAACCGAGCTCCTCATTCACACAACCCCAAAAACCAGAATGAAAAAAAAAAAAAAAAAAAAGACAAAAAAGAAGGAAAAAAAAACGACTATCTGTGTTTTGTTCTTTTCGCGATCGACGCCGAGGTGTGAGCTACTCCGAAGGCTACGGTCGCAGTGAGCCAATCAGCGCGTCGGAGGGGGCCCACGTGACTATACCCCATCTCATTAGTTGCGCGCAGTGCGCTGTCCAAGTCCTCGGGCGGGAAGATGAGAGGTAGGAAAACCGCCTTCCTACTAAATCTGATTGACGGGCTAATCTCCGATGCGGACAAAAGCCACGTCCGGGACTCAGAAAAGAGGGTAAAAACGGGGGAATGAGGGGGGGGGGGGGGGGGGGGTTGCTCCTTCCCCTCTTCTCCAACTACTCGGGTTACACTCTCCGTCCGTGTACTTTTGGTAAGGGCTGTAACGTGCTTCGCCACCGTCGCTCCGATTAGGGAGTTTTCGTAGATTAGAGATACTTTTAGTATGTCGAGGCGCAGGTGGCGGCGGTGTATCGTGGTATCGTTACTGGAGGATCGTCGGAACGACCTACCAAAACTCTCTATCGTTTCCGTTGTCCCGCAGCGTTCTTCGCAACCCACTCCGCGCGTCTGCGTTGCGCAGGGAGACAAACTCTCAACGAAAACTGCCTATTGGCTCGGAGGGACCGTGATAGCGTTCGCTTTTTGCCAAGTTACGTGGAAACGAGCTGTAGAAGAAGAACGCGTAGAAGAGAGTGTGCCGTGACAGAGAGAAATATCTTTCTTTGCTATTCTCGGTGAACGCGCACTGATCGAGGACAGCGATCACGGCAGAACGCCGGCGCTTTAATTGGATCGCCCAGATCAATACCTTGACGCCCAGGAGAAAGCTTTTCTGGTACGGGCACGCGACTACTGCAGGCCCAGATTTCGATAGCGTGTGTACCACACACAGACACAAACCGTGGGGAAATAAAAAAATAAAAATAGTTTGCTCTCAAAGCGTTCTTTGAGCGTGGCTCTATTTTCAAACCCCTTGGTCCGTAAAGCGAGCAACGCCCCCCAAAAAAGCGCGAAAAAAAAAAAAGCGTTTTTTGCGGAGAAAGACAGTTCTTCGGAGGCACATCAAAAGATTGGAATACGCGGTTTCCGAAGACAAGCCTTTCTAGAAAAAGGTTTGCGGGTGTACGTAGTAAAAAAATAAAATAATAATAATAATAAGATAACACGATGTTGCCTCCAGTCGGTCAGGCGTGATCACACATGGTTCCCATCCGGACTATACGGAACGCAAGTTTGTACGCTTCTTGCGCAGGGGTTTCGGTGACGTCAGAAACACGCCCAACTCTTATTGGCTCCGATCGGGTGGATAGTGGGGTACAACTCCATGCAGCTAGCATTGAGGTCTACACACTATCCTTCCAATCGGAGCCAATCAGAGCTCGTCGTCCTTCTGACGTCACCGAAACCCCCGCGCAACAAGACGAACTTGCGCTACGTATAGTCACCGACGGCTTAAGAAACGCAGGGCGTGGCTTCTTTTCGCTTAATTTATATATTCTAAAACGATCCCAAATGCTTGTACGAAATAAAAGCAAAAATAGGTACTTTTCATGCTTTCGTTCGTAAGTAATGGGAACCGGTGACGTGATACTATGGTGCCTGGAGCGCGTCTTCGACTGGTGTGTTTAGCGTCCTATCCCGCCCATACATCAAAAGTGGTCCCGATGTGGCAACAAATGACACGAGTGTGCTGTTGCCTGTCGCGATCCTGGCGGTTGGCCGTAGAAATGCTGGCGAAAAGCACGAGCGAACGCGAGTGTCGCTGTCGTCACCGCGTCCCTTTAGGCGTCCCAACTTCCGGCTGCACGAGATTCCGTGAACTGTCGCAGTGGAAAGCGATTTGCAGCAGAACAGGCATCTGCTACATACACCATAACTGTTGGGACGCTTTTATGACGTCATCAGGCGGAAATCGAGGGACCACTTTTTTGGCCGCGGTAAACACACCAGTCAAAGACGCGATCCAGGTACCATAGTGATACACCCCACAAATGTTACACTTTTCCTCCACCAGGCGGTGTCAACTCACTTTCAAATTTTCGCGCATGCGCACGAATGTCGAACTTCGGTCGAACTTTCGTCCAACATCACGTTGCAAGTTTCGAAAAATTCGAACCTCGTGAGTCGAACTTCGGCAGGTTCGCGTCGCCCTCAGCCATAATCAGACTGAAGCGAAGCACGCCCTAGGCTTGTTCACAACGAGATGTCGGTCCCCTTGGAGCCCTCTCGCTAACTCGGGAGACACCACGATCTGGATGAACATCGTATGCGCCGAGAAAGCGAGGATGAGGAGGAGACGAGACATCAGAACGCTGAGCGCTCTTTGGAACGATGAGTGAGTAGACCTAAAGAAAAGCTGCCTTTGTCTCCACTGCAACTCGTCGAATGCGTTAGAACGCCGGCGCCCAGCGTTGGGCTCTCGCATTGGAAAGAGTAGAGGTTTAAGTAGACTTTTAAGTCGAAGAGGAAAAATCTAGCTATAGTTCGTTGCAACCTAAGAACGAAGGGCGAGGGTAAGACGGGGAGGAGGAAGCAGACGGAACGCTAAAGCGACAAGGAGGTTTCCCTGTCTCTTCTCCAGCGTTTCGTCTGCTTCGTCCTCCCCGTCTTACCCTCGCCCTTCGTTCTTAGGTTGCAACGGACTACAGTGAGACCTCAGCCACGGGACAAACCCGGACAGCGGTTGTTAGGAAATTAAACGCAAAATTTCCCCCCTCCTCATCTCGCGTTTCTTTTTCTCCGGTTGCCTCGAGACTGTCTTTGTATCGTGGTTATTTCGATTCTTGCTACCTCGAAGGCAGCCCGAACCTTACGCCGTCTAAACACAAACGTGTCTTTTGGTTTTGGTAACGCGTGTGTTTACGTCACGAGTTAGTCTCCTCCCACGCAGAAACAAGGCCCTGCTATTCGCGACTCCAGCAACCCGTAGGGGTCGCCACTCTCGACAAAGATGGCGGCCGAAAAGAGGCCCCGCCACGTGCTCGCTCGACGCACAACGCTCGAGCTTTAAGAGGGTAAGCATTACCTTCAAATTATCTTTACCCCGGCGTTTATTAGCGACGCTCGAAACCCGCGAAAATGTATTTGCGTAAGCGACCTTCGAGAGGCTTAGCCTTCTTCGGGAAAGAACCGATTGAATGACCACACCCTCCCGTCTACCGCGCCGGTGAACGTCGATAAACGCGCACGTCCGGTCTACGCGGTTGCGTAGGCTGCATTCAGAGCGACCTCGGCAACACGAGCTGGTACCGCGCAGTAAGGACCGATTCACCTGGACAACCGTTCGCCCTACACGACACGTACAAGAAGCAACGCGAGGCGCACCTAATCAGTTAGGTCATTACGAGTCGGGGTTTACCCCGCGGCCCCGTCGTGTTGCTGTCGTTTCAGTGGCGCCGTAGACACGACCGACGTAATCGCACGCTCGGCCGCCGATCCCCCGCCCACCTTTAGCGTGGGAAAGAGAGGCTCGTTGGAGACGCGATGAGCTCACCTTGTTCTGGTCCGTCCAGAAGAGGAAGAAGCCGTTCTTGTCGACGCGCAGCGTGACAGGGGTGCCGAGGGCCGAGTCCTGAAAAGGATGGGCAAAATAGAACACCGCACGTCAGACCACCCTCTCCGCTCGCTCTCTCTCTCTCTCGAGCGACGCAAAAGAGTTTCCTTAATTAAGGATTAACCGATACCATAGCCGCTCGCTTTCGGATGCCCGGCTACCAGCGCGCACTGGCGTGAGGCTCACGAGACGGCCAAGCGTTGTCCGAGTCGGGAATTAAACGAAACGACGCTTCGTCACACCCCGTGGGAGAAAAAAAGTGGAATGCGAACATTTGGTCCCGCATCTGTGGACTTAACGCCGGCTTCACGTTATGTTCAGACAGTAGCGGCGCATTTTAGCCGCGGGATCCGCAACGCTATAAAACCCCGACATGATTCGATATCGGTCGCCATAGTACACGAAAATTGCGCTCCGAAAAAAAAGAGAACAAGGCGCCAGACGCGGCAATGCGGGATGCGGGATGCGGGGAACATTCACGCGGAGCGCTTTGGTTCGACCTAATTTAGCGGCGAGGTCGTGCGCCCCAGATCGTAAAAGAAAACAAAAAAACTGAAATCAGGCAAAGAAGAAATTCGTGTAGAGTAACTTTCCGTTTAGCGTGAATCAAAAAGAACGCTTCTCGCGAAATCCGAAACTACGATGTCTGTCAAAACAAGATCAATCCCGATTAGGAATTTTTGTTCCCAACACAAAGAGCATAAAGAAGAGCCATATCGTTGCCACGTGCTTCGCATTACGGCCCGACGAAAAAGAGCTCTGCCGATACCGCCTAGACACAAGGCCTTTCCCCTCTCTAACGTCATTGGATCCCCGCAGAGACGGCGCGCGTCCGCGTTTACGAGTCGGCGTCGAAACGGCCGCGTCCTTGACGCGTCGGTTGCGCCTCGCGCACCGAGCGCAACGCCGCTGTTTCATTCCCAATGCTTACGCAGAGTACGCAATATCATCTAGAAGATAAGGCATGCGACCCCCCCCCCCCCCCCCCCCCTCCAAATCGTCATTAGTACTGGACCGACCCAGGACCGCCCAGCCTGCGTCATCATCGCGGACGGCGCGTCGTGAACTGTGAACATAACGAGCGCCACACAGGGACGCGGCGACGCGAACGCGGACGCCCTCATCGAGCTTCAGCGTCCTTGCCACTTGGGGAGGGCCGGCAATTTGCTAACGATGACGTAATGTGCAGGTTTTCCCTTCTAGGTGAGCCACGCACCAGTCGGAGCGAAACAATAATAGAGTTTTGGTGGATGGTACGCTGAGGAAAGCGGGCCGAGCGGGCGGGAGCTCAATCCACGCTTCGAAGTCACGGCACGAGCTCCCGCTAGTAAAGCGCAGCTCTGGAATACGATCTACTAAAACTCTCCAATGGTATCAGTTTAAATTAAATCCTTTACGCGGAATTTAGTCATTTCGTTCAGGCACCAACACAGTTCGACACCGCATCCGCGAACTCCAAACAAGCGTGAAGGTGAGAACGTGCGTTGCCTTTAAGGTTATTTGAGAACGATAGTAGTAAAGGCGCCCTCGACGCAGGACCAGGTCGTCATTCCTCCTGCCATCAATACCGCCGACGCTCTGTCGACTCGCCAGCGCAGGGAGATGCGCCTGGCGTGCCCCCGCAAAGGGTGCTTCCCTGCAAGCGTAGCCTCGGTAAGGTGAAGCCCGCTCAACGGAGACCCCCTGCGCTCGCCTTCCGACAATGGGATGCGATCGTGCTAATTGTCTCCTCCGTTTCACGCAGATAGATGGACTCAATCACAATCCCACTATCCTTCAATCGGAGCCAATCAGAGCTCGGAGCCTTTCTGACGTCACCACAGCCCCCCAAAAAGAAGCAGACGAACTCGCGCTCCGCATAGACCCTTCTCCAAAGTCCGCGGCAACGCCTGTCCGCCATAGCTCGATCGCATACTCCGAGCATGTATTGGACACGAGTGTGACGTCAGCATTCGGCGAGGACTCGGGTCCAATCGCGCTCTTCGTATCCAAGCAACGGTGAGCGCCAATGTTGCTCGACGCACTTATGGAAAGGGTCCATCGACTTCCCTACCACAAAATAATCAATAAAAAAAAAAAAAACGCGAACGCGCATGGTTATACTTCATCTTACAAATGTCTTCAGTAAAGAGAAAGGCACAGGCGCGTGGGCCTAACACAGCAGAATGCTTTGCATTGTACGAGAACTCGTACATAAAATGCACTTTCCCAAAGCCACGCGCTCGTGCCAACGCCTTTGCCTGCACTGCAGATGTTTCTGCGATGGAGAATATACGACGAGAGATTGAGAGAGAGGAGGAGGAGACGAGAATGTACTTCAGAACGCCGAGCTCTGGCTCGAATGATGAGTGGGTCGAGGAGCAGCCGTCTGTCTCTACTCACTCTTCGAACGCGGTCGAGCGCATACGCTGCCAAAGCGCGAACCATTACAGAACTGCACTCGGAAATCAGCCGATAGCCCCACAATCATTCGTTTCCGCACGTCTGGATCACTGGCACAAAGGAGGCATCCCATTGATTCCACTATAATAAACGTATCGCATCGTTTATCCCTAGACTTTCGAACTAATTGAATCATTTACACAAAATTGCAAACAGCACAGGCCACGTTCACGTGCACGGTTCGCGTGCAGGCGCCCATGGGCCACCGGTCGGGGCGCTAAGCTCGCAATTGTCAATAGGCCCTTTTGTTTGCAAACTCCACCAGGCTGTGCTTCAGCCTTTGATATCCCAGCGAACTTCCGGTTCATAACAAAAACGAACGAAGCTTTTCATGTCAATAAAACACGTAACCACCAATTCTCCGGGTGAACGCGAAAAGAACCAAGAAGCGCGAGATCTGTTCAAATTTTTTGGAATATTCTAGTAAACCAACTCGTCTCCGCCAAGACGTTAAAGCGTACAGGCGAAGGCACTCGCTGAATCTCCAACGTCGCTATCCGTGTACCATTTATGCTTTCAAGCACCAGCGAAATAAGCGAGCTCGACAGACTCGCAAAGACGGACCGACCGGAAGTCGCCGACAGGGTGCCAGCGCGGCAGGGCGCCTCTTTCGAAACGCCGAACCTCCGGCACGCGCTCCTTGCCTTCCGCCGTGCTTTGACTACGCGTGCACACACCCCACGAGACGCCGAAGCACAATCGAAGGTAGAAAGTTCGAGCTGGAGGCGGGACGACGACATCTCCTCTCTGCCGTTCTCACCTTGTCGGTGACTATACATAGCTTGCACTGACGTCATTTGGTCAGACGTAACGGGAGAAACGGGACGTGAAAAGGTTTCTGGCCACCAGAAAGAAGGGCGGACTGACGTCACGTGCACGCCATATATATCTGCGCCACTTACATCGATTGCTGATTGTGTTCTATGTTCGTTCAAATGTTCGTGTATCTAAAGCCTCGGCCATACTGCTAACACATCGTACAAGAGGCAGTCTGCGGAGACACTGCCTGAGGCCTTCCTCGCACGACGGTCCCGTCAGATTGGTCGTACGAAAACTGTCTGGACACACGTCCGAAACATAGATGGATGGATGCTAATGGCTAAACCCTTTGTAACGGGCGGTAGCTTGCGCCACCTAGCGTCAGTCTAAAACGACAAAACATACAAATATATAAAGCAAACATACTTCGAAGACGAGAAAATTCTGTCATCATGTTCCCAGCGAACATCGTGACTTTTGTGCACTGTACGAGAGTTCCACTGCGGCTACACTGTTCCGCATTTTACACCGTTATGTCGCTTGCCTTCTCGCCATTCTCCCCACTGTAATGGCTCTGACCCTGAGGGTAAAACAAAATAAAACAAATGCGTAAATAGATAAAGCGACCGTAACCTAATTACTTGTCAGGACTAACGTTTCTCCAGTCCTTCAAGTCGAGCCCGGAAGCGCCCGTCCGGCAATCGGCGGGTATGTCATCGGCAAGGAACGGTCGGGCGAGCGAGCCGTGCCCATCATAGGAGTCCCCGGGTGACAGCTGCCCGGACCCTTTGACGGATGGGCCGCCAACAAAGCCGCTCACATTTGCGGGAGTGTCGTGCGGCCGTCACGGCGGACGGCCGGTGATTTGTCGATAGTTGAAACGAACGGCCGGCCGACCGCCTACGCGCTTGCGGCACCGGAACAGCCGGCCGAAACGGGGTCACGGTCATGGGCAACTCCGAGAAACAAAGAAAGGAACAAATATATATATATAGGGAGAGAGATACTCAGGTGGGTCTGACTGGCCGCGAAAAACGCAAAAAGCCGACCACAGCGCTCAATACTAACCGGAAAATTGATGGGAGAAATGTAATTTTAAGGCGTAATATATAAAAGGAACGGCTCTAGTTTTTCGAGGATAGGTAAGCCAGATACAAAGAGTAGAGCCACTACAACTCATTCATCTATCCAGCTTCAAAAGCGCCTCTCCGAGGCCGTGTTTAAATATTGACTCGATCTTACTCCAGGGTAACCCGCGTCCAGCGTTGCACAGTCTATCTTGTCACGTGACATGACCCGCCGGAGTAACACGGATTCATTCGAGTAAGATTTGGAACACAGCCCGACTGGTGTGTCTAGCGTCCAAGAGAGAGCGTGCCCGTGACTGACGGTGGCGCCTCGGTGCGGCTCCCAAGAGAAGCATTTCGCGTTAGACATCGTGCGTAGCAGGCTAGCAGCCGAACGTAGTTTCTAATCAATAGGGACTTTCAGCAAACCCTTCCCGCGTTTAAAAGCATGCTTCAAAGGCTCCGGTAGTCCGATACGGGGAACACGGTAACGGTTTGCTAAAAATCTGTAGTGTTAGGTTACCGGAGCAGAGCACTATAGGATCATCCCGTTCCCAGTGCGTCTACTCGATCCGCGAGCGAGCGAAGAGCAATCCGATAAAAAGAGGAGCGAAAAATACCGTATTTGCACGAGTAATAGCCGTGCTGCTTATGAACAAAGCTTGTCAGTCCGCTTTCCCGCGGAGCACGGCAATAGCGAATCACCGCGGTCGGCATGAAAATGGCAGCCATTTACGGGACAGAGATAAC